GCAATCTCGAAGCACCACATGGTGCATGATGCGGCCGTCCTGTGGAAGGCCAGTTTAGTGCCATCGACGCATGTGCGATGGAGCGGTCCCGCTTGCGAGTGAAATCAGGTGGTGCCCCTGTCGACAATATTCGCGTGCTCGAGTGTCTTCTTAAGCTACTCATCTGGACGAGCGTTATAATGACGCGCGCGTCCAAAGTTTTGGCCACGCCCTCGTGGTGGGCGACGGGGACATTCCTGGGGCGCGCATGCTCGTCGCAGATCGCATGTGCGCTTCAGGCATATCAATTCGGTAAGTGACGTGGTCCCGTTGGGGCGCGCGGCAGGGATCGTTCGCGCGTGCGCCGTGGACGATGGCACATCGTTCGCGATTGTAGAGACCTTGGCGCGCGCGTTCGCCAAGGGTGCGCACGGCGGCCGCCGGTGGTCAGGTGGCCCCCTGGAGGCGCGGCCATCAACGGCGTTGCGCTCTGCAGCTTCCTTGCCTTTGGAAGCTGGCGAAACGGTCGCGCCGCGCGTTATCGAGCGCCGCGCCGCCAAAGTGCGCGGCTGGAGTCCTGCGCGCATCGTAGTCGCAGCGCGCGCGGAACAGCGCAGCTGGCAACCTGCATTTCCACCTCCGCGCCCACTCCAGAGCGCGCCGCGCTGGGGGGCCCACTTGCAGAATGACCGCATGGGGGCGCCGCCCTGGGCCCCCCCGCCCCCGAGACAAAACGTGCCGGCGGCAACGCGGGCGCACCGCGCTGGGGCCTTCGCCTCTGCCCCGATTTGGTAAGACTAGCGCGCCGCGCTGGAGCCTCCGCCCCCAACCAATGGGTCTTCTCCTCCGCCTCATTTTCCTTCTCCCCTTCGTTCCCTAGCATTGCATTATGTCGCGCTGCTAAGCTAGGCGAAGCGCGCTGCGCCCTCCGCCAGCGCAGCGGGCGCTTCTGTTGGATGGGAGGGGAGGGGGGGGGGCGGATGATGGTGAGGAAGAGGAAGATGAGGAGAAAGAGGAGGGGGGAGGGCAGGAAAAGGGGGGGGGGGCGGAGGTTTGGGGGGAGGAGAACCGGAGGATAATAAGGAGGTGGAGGAGCAGGAGGACGAGGAAGAGGAGGGCAACTGTTCAATTTCAGCCAAGTCCAATTGCTAGAGCTGCGTTCCCTTGTGCCGACGCTCCGCCAGCGACGAGCGCTCGCGCCACGGCAGCCCAGCATGTCCGGCTCAAGCCAGGTGTAATTGCGGGTGGGGTGTTCATGATTATTGGCAAACTGAGCGCATGGTTCGCAAGATTGTCCAGGATCCAACAAACTGTCGAAGCCGTCTTGTCTTCGGAGCAGAATCGCCGGTAACGTGCATAGATGAACTCCCGATATTGTCGCGCGCGTATCGAGATGGCGAGACCGCCCCGACCCCCGAGCAAAAGCAAGCCACTCGGCCCGGCCAAACCAAGTTCGGGACTCCTGCAAGGGCACTTGATGTGCTTCCAGGATTGCCTTATCACATATCTCGAACGGTGGACCCTTGATGCAGAGACTGTTGACGCGGCCGCCATTGAACTTTTCCGCATCGCGCGCGCCCACCTCGAACTGCGCCCAAACGTGACGGGCATGGAACGCTTTCATTTCGCCGTCGTTGTGCACAATGACGCCTGGACAGCCGCCATGAGCGCAGGCGCCGCAATGTCGGCGTCAGCCCTTCAAGATGTCACTCCAAATCGGCTGCCCATTCCAAACATAAGCAGGGTTAAACGAAGTTGTCAATTGTCTCGTTATGATTCCCCGCGCAACGATTGCCTGGGCCATGCTGTCTGGCGCGGCACGTTCAAACGCTGCCGCCGTCCACCAAAGCTTGCAACCTGATTCGAGGAGGGATTCGTGCCCAGACAGTGCCACCGTCTCGGCTGCACCCAGAAGCAGGAGGCAAGCTGTTCGCCCCGATGATGCGTCGCCATATGTCACTCGGGAATGCGCGCAGACCGTCGATGACTGCGTTGAGCCCCGCTGGGAAGTCACAGGAGAACTTGCGTCGACAGCGCGCTTCCTCCGATGGGATGAGGTGCATGTGCCGCGAGCATGTGGGACAGAAGGCTGTGGCTGCTGCTGCGGTGGCAGCGTCGAGAGCCTCGACGGGCTGCGCTGCTGCTGCTGCGGCAGCGTCGAAATCGCCGACGTGCTGCAGCTGTGGCTCCTCTGGCTCCTTTTCTTGATCTGAGCCCCGCAACATCAGCACGTATGCGAATGTGTCGTGAGAACAACATCAGGGTGTGAGAAGGCGCCTCGTGCGCCAAGTTGACTTTTTGCGCCGAGGTGGCTGCGGTGGAATGTTGATACCTAGTGTTTGGGCCCATGGGCCCGCCACGCAGCGCGGTGCGTTGGCGGCGGGGGGTGGGAGGCGTGGGGGGGACACGCGACTGCCCTAACTCAGCATTCATTATCAATGCGCTGCAGCACAGCAAAGCCATTGCAAAACAACGCAGCACAACGCAACGCATCAACACTAATGCAACACACGGGAGCACAACAGCAGTGAGGCAACAGTAGCACCTATCAAGAAACGATCAGCAAATGAGAAGGGCTTAACAATACCAACATACAGAAACCTTATTGAATCGTTTCGCTCATTCCGCCGGCCCTGGAGCGCTATTGGGGCCTCTTGGGGGCGTCTTGGGGGCCTCTTGGGGGCTTCTTGGGAGCGTCTTGGGGCTCCTTGGCGGCGTCTTGGGCCCCCCTTCCCCTTGGGGATCGCCCGGGACCCGGCCAGGACCAGGCCAGGGATCGGCCGGGGTACTCTTCGTCCGGGGGGCCCCAGGGGCCGCCCCGCGCGCGCGAACTAGAAATATTGTTGCGAATTTCCACCTACTTTCGCCGCTTCTTTCACGAGTCCTAAACTATTAGCCGCAACTCGCACCCTACGTTGTCGAACATAAAGAAGTTAGCGAAGTTACCACACTTGTCATTCGTTGTAGCTCGTCCAACGCAATACAGCTTAGTCCGACACGGATAAGCTTAACATAGATGCTCCTGACTTGCCAGAATTTGTTGTCGGCATGTCACCTCGTGGCCTTACCAATTCCCACCCTTTTTGTCTTGTTACCTCACGCTTCTTCCATGCCACTTCCAAGTTTCACCTCTGCATCCCCCTGCTGAAAATTAACGGACGGTTCCGCCAGGCCGCCTTTCGGGTTTTACAGCCTCACGTGGGTTACCCTGGGACCCTCTCGTGGCCATGTTGCGCGCTGTCGTGGGCCGTCCTGAGTGCCCGCGCGATCTTTCCCATGGCCCATCCGCCCCCTTCCGTCGTCGATGGAACAGCAGGTTTGGAATCTCGAAGCTTCCCTCTGTTTCTTTCTGTGTTTGTGTTGTTTTGTGCCGGGCGCTTGCATCACCGCTTCTGGAGCATCAGGTGGGTTCCTGGGGCGTTCGTTGTCCTGCTGGGGTTACCTGGGTGTTTTTGGGAGCTCCCTGGGGAGGAGGAGGAGGAGGAGGTTCCTAAGACGGAGCTTCAGGAGGAGGAGGAGGAGGAAGTTCCTAAGACAAATTTTAAGCTTTTGGTATCCCGAGATCTCCATCCTGAGAGGCCATTCCGCCCCAGAGAGGAAATGATATTTTCCGTGCTTCGCACCGGGCGAGGAAGGCGTAACCGTTTTCCGCACCGTTCGGAGGTGGGCGAGATATTTCTTTCCCGTCGACGCAATGCAGACGGATGGCGCTCCGCTGAACGCTCAGACCATCAATGGTTCGCTGCCGGACGATAGTCGGAAGCGGCTTTCGCTCCCGAGAGGAAGAGAGCGAAGGAACGACATTGATAGATCGACTATGGTATATATATCTATGTATTTATGTACATATATACACATCATATTGCCCGCATGTCGTTTGGTATATCGCCGTGTTGTTGAAGTGTCGGTGTGGTTATCTGTCATGTCTGTTAGCGTGGGCCCTTTCTTCCGAAGCGTGCGGCATTGACACTTACGCTTGGCGTAGAACTTTATGCGTCATTCCGTGTGCCACGCTGCATCAATTGCAACAAAATCGCAAGCATCTGTTGCTGCTATTGCTTCCTGCCCTGCCCAGGAGGAGGCAACACCACTCGGCGCACCTGAGCCCAAAGCGTCGGACGAGCCGCGGACTCTGGGGTCACCGCAGCTATGAAAATGTGATCTTTGTTTGCCCGCGTCCGTCACTCGACCATGTGAATGTTGCAGCTGCGCGGCACTCGCGTGAGTCCACTCCAGTGCATAGCGCCCAATCATCCGCGCTTGCTAGATAAGTATCCGATGCATGTCGCGCTCTTGCTCGGTACGGCCGCCGTGCACGGCACACCAGGGGGGTTCAGGGTCACGGGTAGTAGTAATAGTTGCACATATCGGGATCAGAAAAGGGGGATGTTTGGAGTGTATGAGGAAAGACCCGATTGATTGGCCTTGAGGCGGCAGTTCCGCTGCTGATTAGTTCGGGTGGCCCTGGTCTTATCCAAGACGTTCGCCCGTAACTCGGCGCTGATCTCTCATTGTTTCGTTTCCCCCGGCGGCCGTTGCCGAAATTCCCCTTCCCGCCCTCACGTCCGTCTGCCTGCGATCCGCTCTCTTCCCTCGCTGTCTCCCTCTTCCGTCCGCTTTCCACCCTCCACTTTGTCCTCTTCCTCTTTCGCGGTTGCACGAAGATTGTTGCGCTTCGCGCGACGCAGCTTGGGCTGTAGAGTTGCCATTCTCTAGGACGGGAGTTGCGAGAGCGAGAAGATAGCCGCCTGTCGGGTGCCGCGGGGCGCGATGCGCGAAGTTAGGTAACCAAATTTTCCTCCTTGCCTCCCTCTTGTTCCCTGCATTTCCCGCGTGTCTTAAGGATCCATGATCAGCGTTCTCTGGGGATCTGGGACAAGACCCGTAGTTGGGGATACGATTTTCTCCGGGCGGCGTGGACACCTTGGAAGGCGCCCTTGGAGGCAGCGGTTTTGGGATCGCCGCAGGATCCTTTTTGCATTCATGCCGAGTTTCGGGCCGCCTACGTGGGTGGTGGACATCCTAAATGTAACCACGAGGGTTAAGAACATCCCTAGCTCTGGTAGCAATATGTTTTTCGTATCTGGGCTCTCTCCACCTTGGACTGTTAAGGCGGACCCGGTCGCGCTCCGCTGGACCGCGCGATGTGCAGAGCCCTGCTCGGCCTGGGGCCGTCCCGCTACGCGCGCGGCCTGGCCACCAGGCGGCCCCCACAGCGGCTGGAGGAGGATGTGGCGCAGCGTCTGCTGGAGCTTCGGGAGGTGAAGCCGTGCGTGGCCTGGCAGTGGGGCAGGTATCGCCGTGAAGCAAGCGGGCCTCGAGGGAGACAGGTCCCGAGGTTTTCACTCTTTTCAGACCCTTGGGGCCTTCCCGGGCCTTGGGGCCGTCAAGATACGGCTCAGGACGCAGAGTTGGTCCTGGGGGAAGGCCCCCGGGTCCAGGACTCGCCTCCCCCAGGACCTGGTTCCTTCATGCTATGCAGGTACTGCGCGGACGAGGGCGGCGGCGACCAGGACCCCCTCCGCCACGGCGAGAGCTTTATCCGCGAGTTCCTCGCCCGGGAGGCGGCCGGCCGACTGCCGGCGGTGCGGCTCGCCACGCCAGCCATGGTGAAGCGGCTCAGGCGTTTTCAGCGCCAGGGGGGCGCCGAGGCGACGCGGGCGTGGCACGACTACGCCCGCACCGAGGGGCTGGGCATCAAGGACCCGAGGCTCAACGCCGCTGAGCTGGTGCAGCGCTTCTTGGACGGGCGCGCGGGCGGCGCGCAGGGCTCGGGTTTGGGCCCTGGCGCGGTGGAGGGCGAGCCGCGCCGCTGGGGCTCGCCGGCCGTGCTGAAGGGCCTCCGGGTGGCGCTGGTGCCGCCCGCGCGGCGGCTCGGGGTGCCGAGCGGTGGTCGGAGGAGGGCCAGTCGAGACAACACGTCGGCCCTCCCTGGCGTCTCTCGTCCTTGGGCGGGCCTCCCGCAGGCTTCCCGTCGCCGCCGCTGGAGCCGCCTCGGGCCAGGATGGGCCCCGGGAGCGGTCCGGGGACCGATGTTCGGCGGGTTGGGGCACGGGCGTTGCCTCCACTAGCCCTCCGAGGTGGGGAGGCCAGCGAGCCCCAGGCATGGGGCCCAGACGGCCTGCCCTGGGACGCGGCCCCAGCCGCGTCCTACGCCGAGCAGCTGGAGCAGAAGGTTCCGGGGCTGGGAGTTCTCCATGTCAACCGCCTGGGCCACCGGCCTTTCTGGACTTCGGCAGGCGGTGGATGTTCGGCCGCCCTGGGGCCAAAGTGTGTCAGCCCCCCTACAGGGTCCCAGGGCATCGGTTCTCCAGGCGGTGGATATATGGACGACTCCCCGCCTCGCAGAGGTGCAGCGAGCGGTCGGCCTCTTCCTGGAGGCTGGCGCGGCGATGCCCGAGCGGCTGCGGGTCTACGAGTCCGCCAGGCGGCACTACCGCACGCGGGCCTACTTCGACGTCGAGCTCTCTGCCGGGGCGCTCGCCTACCGCAAGGGCGCGATGCGGCTGCGCTCGGACGCTCGCTGTGCCCCGAGTCTGAACAGGGCGCTGAAGGTCGTCCGCGACCGAGCGCTTCGCTCCGAGAGTCTCAGGCGTGGGCTGCACCAGGTGTTCGTGCACACCTCGGCCGGCGGGGACGCCATAGCGATGCTGAGCTACCGCGGGCGGCTGCCGGAAGGCTGGCGCGCGGCGGCGTCGGCAGTCCACGAGGAGGAGGCCCTCCCCGTCTGTGGCTACGCTTTCTCGCCCGCGGCGGCCGGGGGCGCCCACTGGGCCACGCGGGAGGGGCGCGCGGTGTGCGGGCGCGACTCCTTGTGCGAGACATTCCAGTCCGGCGGTCGGTCGCTCGTGTACGAGCAGGCCATCAGCCATGGTGCGTTGGCCGCCCCGAGGGCCCAGGGCTGGGGGCCGGGGGGCAACCAAAGCAGGATGCCCAGGCGTCCCGAACGGCCCCCCCGCCTGATCGGCTTGTTTGGCCTTCAGGGCCTCTCTGGTTGCTGCTGGGCCCCCCTGAGCCCTCTGGGTGGCAGAACTGGCCGTGGGCCGTCGGTCTTTTCTCGCAGCCCAACGCCGAGGTCTGCCAGCGAATGATCGAGTGGGCCGAGGAGTGCACTCGAGGCGCGTCCGGCGACCTACTGGAGCTGCACTGCGGAGCCGGTACCTTTGCGCTGGCGGTGGCTCACAATTTTGGGCGCTGCCTCGCGACCGAGCGGTGCGCCCAGTCGTCCGGGGCCGAGAAGCAGACACAGTGAGGTGCTCCTCCCCTTCCACACCCACCGCCTCGACATCGTGCCCCGGGATCTCCAGCGGTGGTAGATGTGGGTACCTGCCCGCCCCCTGGCGGGGCGGACAGGCATCCGCATCCACCGCTCCTCAGGGGCCCAGCGCTGGGGCTCAAGGGGGGGCTCAAGAGACTGTGGAAGTGGACTTCTTGTGGCGGTGCACCTCCCGCTCTTCCCCGCCCTCACACCGTGTTCCCTGGAGAATGCGGGGGAAGGAGCGCTTCAATGCGTAGACTTTTCAGCCCTGCTCGGTGGCTCTCGCGCGGGCGAATGCGGCACGGAACGGAGCCGTCGGCGTGAGGGTGCTGCAGTTGGACAGCGCCGGCGTCGCTCAGGCCCTCGCCTCCGATCGCCGCCCGGCGACATCGGCTGGCGCCGCTGGGCTGGTGAGCTTCGAAGAGTACGGGTTCTGTACGGCCCTGGTGGATCCACCGCGCTGGGGTCTGGACGGGGAGACTCGGGATCTCCTCCACAGATTTCCGAACGTTGTGTACTTCAGCTGCAACCCCGCGACGCAGGCTCTCGACCTCCGGCAGCTCCTGACGACGCACGAGGTGCAGGATTGCGCTTTGTTCGATCAGTTCCCGTACACCGGCGAGATCGAGAGTGGCCTGTTCCTGACGCGAAGACGAGCGCCAGCGGGCAAAAGTCATGTCGAGTCTCCGATCTTAGAGTCCAAACGGCCTGTAGATACTGTTGCAGAGTAAGATTGCTGCATCCTGGAGTGCCCTGATGGGGAGTCCTACGAACATTCTGGGTCTTTCTTCCTGCCCATGTGGCACCCGCTCGGCCCCGTGAGTTTCCCTTCCGCTCCGATCAGGCCAAAGAACGTATCTCCCGTGTCAATGCTCCCCTTCTCTCTGTGGGCCGGTGGGTGTCTGCTGGGGAGGCGCGGGCGTGGAGGGGGCGGAGGCAACAGCAGCAACTTGCTCACGCCGATGCCGTACCCTTTTTCCCCCTGTGGACCGATCGCCCCAGGGGAGGGGGGCCGGCGGGCCCAGGTCACCCGCCCGCACGGGCGTGGAGGTGACCGTGCCTCGCGCCTCGCGTCCTGGGCTGGAGGGCTGCCCTCCCTGGGCGTGGCCGGGCGAGGGGCGCGAGGGCAGGGCCGAACGCTCCACGCCGTGTCAGAAGCCCACCTCCAGCGAGGAGGTCGACGGTGCCTCTCCGAGCCTATGGGTAGGCCCTAGGCGACGCCTCGAGCGGGGAGGGGGGACTTCACCACCAGGAGGACCCCTCCTGGCTCCTCGCGCTGGTGGCGGTGTCGCTTCCCCTTGTTCCTATGAGTGGCGTCCCCCTGCCCCCGCCGTTACGGAGCCAGCCCTCGTCTTCCCTCCCTCCCTCCCTCCCTCGCTCCCCCCTCGCCCTCCTCATTCCCTCCGTCCGACCCCTCCCTCCCCTCCTTGGCTCAAGCCCAGCCGCCGGGGCGGGCGCCCCGCCCGCCTGCGCATCTGGAGAGATGCACAGGCACTCCCCGCTGCCGCAGCCCGACGACAGCGACGGCGGCTCGTCGGGCGGCGAGGGGGATGCGGACGGCGGTGCGCAGGCCCGGTTTCTGTGGCAGTGGGACAGGATGGTCGACATCACCCTGCGTTGTGGCGCTAAGGGGCAACGACAGGCGGGGGGACTGGCCTAGATCGGGCCTTGGGTACCCCAGCCCGCCTGGAAGCGCACGTTTCTGTAATCGAGGGCCACTCGCCGATCTATCGGCGCTGCATCGCAAGCCCTCCCCCCGAGCTTCCCTCCACCCTCTGCCGTTTCCCCGCAGGTGCGCGCGGGGGAGCGCGCACTCTGGGGAAGCATCTGCTGTGGGCCTGCGCGCAGTGGTTGCTGATCCTGGCCACCGCGGCGGCGGCCGCGCTGCGCTGGGACGGCAGCCGCTTCTCCGACCTGCTCATGAGGAACGCCTTCCTCCTGCACTACGCGGCGGAGTACCTGGGCTGCACCGGAATGTACTCTGGCTTCTCGCCCCTCTTCCCACTCACCTGGTACCGGTTCGCGCCCGGCACGCTCAAGGACTGGCTGCACGCAAGAGGGACCCTTCGCTGGGGCGGCCTTTGGTGCGCGGCTTTGGGGGGAGCGCTGGGGTTGGGGGGCACGCCCAAGCACACAGGCCGCTGCTGTCGCATCGCATACAGCGGTCGTCGAGCCGCGCACCAGAGGTCACCCTTGCCTCGGAAAAGAAAGAGCTACATGCACATCCACTTTGGGAGTTCCACGCGGATTTCATTGATCGGAGCTGGACCCTCCTCCCTGGCGCGCATTGCGCAGCATGGGCGGCGCCGGAGGTTCCGCCAAGGGGACCCATCGCTGATCCAAGAAATTTGCGCGGACCTCCGGAAGTTCATGGTAAGATAGCTGTTTGTTCCTCTGTCGTCTGGTTACTCGGAAGTTGCGACAAGTGGCCCTGGCCCAAAGGGTCCCCGGCGGTCCCATGGGAGGCGCAAATGGCTTCGGAGCACCCCTCACGAGGCCCAGATGGATGGCTTCCAGAGCATCCCTCACGAGGCCCCAAAGTGGGGCGAAAAGCTGGGAGTAACTGGGGCCGGGACCAGTCCTAGCAACACGTTGATCAGGGCGTGCAGCCGGCAGGAGCCCCTCTTTGACGCCCTCGGCGATCGCAGGACCTGGGCGGACGTCTGCGTCAGCGCTGCAAACGTTCTCGTGCCGGCCGCTGCCACGGCCCTGCCGCCGTCCAGCCCCGCGGTCGCGCTCTGGGCGGGCTGCGTGCTCTTGGCGCTGGTCTCGGACTTTTCCGCCTACATAGGCCGCTCCAGAGCCCAAAGCCCTGAAAATGTTCCTGGACCCTGCGGAGGGGTTCTGGGCACTTCGAGACTTGCCCGCCTCCTCGGCCTCTGGGGGCCTTCTACTGGGCCCCGGACCGTCAAAACATTGTTCATGATGGAACACCTCATGGGGAGACGGCGGCGGCGGCGTTGGCGGAAGAGGCAGGCGGGATGCGGCGGAAATAAAAGTGAGATGTCCATTCTGTGACTGTTTTGTCCACCTGGAGGATGACACATCTCCCCTCCCCCACCGCCCCCCCCGTGACGGTAAAGCCAGGAACGCAAGGGCCGCCGGGAATATGGTGTTGCTCCTCTTGCTGCTCCTCTTGCTGCTCTGGTGCTCCTTCTATTGTCTATTGCTCCGCTGCTCCTCCTGCTCCTCATCCGGTATTCTTCATGCCTGTCCTCCTGCTGCTCCTCGTGCTGAACCACCTCCGTATGCTGGCTCTGCTGCTCCTCCTTCAGCTGCTCCTGTTTCTCCTCGAACTGGCCAGCTCCTGGTGAACCTGCTGCTCCTCACGCTGCTTCTCAGGCTGCTCTTCCTGTTGCTGCTCGTGCTGCTCATCCGACTGCTCCTCCTGATGCTCCTCCTGCTGTTGCTCTCCCTGCTGCTGCTGCTGCTGCGGCGTCTCCTCCTCCTCCTGATAATCTTGCTCATCAGGTGTTCCTCCTGCTCTAGCTGCTCCTCCTGTTCCTCCTCCTTTTCGTCCTCTTTCGCCAGCTCCGTCTCTGCTGATCTTTCCTCCTCCCTCCTCTCCTCTGCCTCCCTCCTCCGCCTTCCGCCTCCATTATCCTCTTCTCCTCCCCATCCTCCTTTTCCTTCTCCTCCTCCTTCTCCTCCCCGCCTTGTGGGGTCTAGGAGGCTGCCTGACTGCATTGGAGCCTGCCTTCGCTCCCGTCCCCCCACTCCCGCCCTCTCTGGTGTTGCCAGCTGTGTCCCTGCCACAAGTTGTGTTTTCCCAGAGTTCCCTTGAAGGCCCCCACCACCTCCTGAGCGCCCTTCCGCGAGGCCCAGTCGGGCGCTGGGCGCTACAGAATGGCTCAGGAAGATGTGGGGTATTTCCGGGTCAGGAAATCATTTGGCAAGCCGCGACGCTTTGCTTCCCCCAGCCGCAGGCGCCATGGGCTGCTACTACGGGCCCATCTCGGCGATCTTCGCGCACGAGGCAGAGGGTAGGGGCAGAGTCTTGCATGCCGTCACCACTGGCCGCCCCCTGGTGGGGGGAAGCGGGGAGAGAACAAAGTGGGAGGAGGCTTGGGGCGGGGAGGGGACGATGGGGAGGGGTACCCGCATAAGCGCATCTGGGGTCTGGCTGGGCCATTCAGTGGTCGCCTTGGGGCCGTCGTGGGCACAGCAGATGCCTTCTTGATCCAGGAAGCGGAAGTCAGCCGTACTTGAATCGTTTGACGGTGCTCATGCAGTGTGAGTGTATGCGCATCCTCTCGCGCCTGTTTGGGGTCTCTCTTCGGGTCTCTTGGGACCTCGCTGATGGTCTCCGAGGCCTCTTCAGCATCCTGGAAGCAGCTTCTAGGTTTGTTTGGGATGCCAAGTTGGGTGTATCTATGCATGCCTTCGGGGACAAGGGCCGCGGTCTTCTTCCTCGACTTCAAAGCCGCGTTTCCGTCCATCGAGCACGGCTTCATGATGTGGTTGTTCGAGCACTTTGGTTGGCCGCTGGCCTGCATGGCTGCTCCGCTTTGTGGAGGCGCTTCACCAAGTCAACTGGTGTGAGGTAGTCGTGAAGAGCACGCGCTTCACGGGCTTTCGACTCACGCGGGGGGTGCGACAGCGGTGCCCTCTGTCGCAGCTCCTTTTTGCGGTCGCCTCGGATCTACTGCTCTGCCGCCTCCAGCGCCTCATATTTAGGATTGATCCTGGGGCCAGGCGCAGGGTCCGCCTCATGGACGGCGCCGCTTGCCAAGATGTTGGGCCGGGCTCAGCTTTGGGTGCTCTTTGCCCGGGGGTACTTCACACGTGCGAGGCCTTCAGAGTGTTCGTGGCGTCTGTCGTCACGTTCGTTGCGCAGCTCGGGCCCCTGCCAGCGCTTTCTCGACCGCAGAGACCAAGGCCCGCGCCAAGCTCTTTCCTGGCCCTGGGGCATGGGCGAGCGCCGAGTTTCTGACTCAGCTCTGGGATCTCGGCTTCCCGTGCGAGCTGATGGACATCCGGTGCGCGTCGATCGCTGCTAAGGCTTGCTTCTCCCACTGCGAGGACGTCCAGCAGGGTGGCTTGCGAGTGCGGGGACGGGCGCGCCAGCTCCAGAATCGCACGCGTTGCACTCTTCGCGAATTTCTGCCAGTCCACATCGAGCGGTGGTTGGAGTCGAACACGCTCTTCGTGCCTGAGGCCGCGGAGGAGCGCGTGCACGAGCTCGAGCTGGCGCAGAATCTCCCCTGCACGCGGTCTGCGACGCAGGAGGCCCGGTAGCAGATGAAGGCCACGTGGCAGGCCGAGCGCCACAATGCCCTCCTGGCGGGCCGCCCGCGAGCCCTAGCGGCCATCTTCATGCGCCGCCGCCTGGACCATTGGGACATTAACGGTTTTCCCAGGGCGCGGGTGCAGCGATTTCGGTCGCACATGGAGACGCTGACTTCGTTCGTGCCGCCGTGCGTCATGGCCGCGGCCCTGCGCACCGCCTCCAACGGTTGGGTCACCACGCGGCGCTTCCAGCAGAGTGAAGGCTGCGCTTTCGGCTGCGCCCGGGGCGTCGGCAGCATCAAGCACTACGCCCGCTGCAGCTACTACCACCACCATTGGCGCGAGGGCTATTGTAGTCTGTCGCGGCCTACGCCCTCCCAGTGCCTGTGTGCTTCCACGAGCTCCGCGCGAGCAGGGGCGGCGCGCGCGCGTCCTGAGCTCGGCGCTCTTCGGGCCGCGCGCCGCTGCGCGCTTTACCGCTCGCACTTGGCGATCCGCCACCGCGCGGTCGAGGTTGCGGACGCCGGGGCCATTTTCAAAGCGGCGGTCCGCGACGCCTGTTCGACGGAACCGATGGGCAGCTCGCTCGCTCGGTCTCGTTCCCGGCCGCGCGCGCTGACGCCCGCGTAGAATGTTGGGTCAGGGGGATGCGAGACATGTTTTGTTGACGAAATTGTCCTGCCTCGGCTCCTTCAGCCGTGAGCCTCGAGCTTGAGCCCCAGCTCTGTTCTCGCAATGTATTTCTGCCCCAGCCTGGTGGCCGATAGCGCGCGCTCTCGGTGTCTGAATTGCGTCGTCCAGTTATTGGCGGAAGTTCGTGCAGTTATGCCCCGGGCCGACGCCGACGCCTCTCCCCCCTCCCCTCCTCCTCCTCTCCCTCGCCCCCTTCCTCTCAATGTTTGCGCGAGTGGTGCCGCGCAGCACAGCGGGCGGAGCGCAGCGACGGGTCCGCGCAGCCCGTGCGTCCTATCCCGCGAGCGCAGCCGAAACTCAGGGCTCCGACTTCGCTATGTTTTTCTGTCCCCGCCGCGCGGCCGATAGCGCACACTCTCGGAGTCAGCGCTGTGTATCCCAATTCTGTGCGGAAGTTCACTGAACCGTTGAGTCTCTGGGCCGTTTTTCGGCTACCCGCTGCGGCCAATGCGCGCCGAGTCCGTGACATGTCGATTCCGCGGCGCGGAGGGCTGGCCAGAGGATCTACCAATCGAAGTTGGAGGCAACTTGGCACGCTGCTTTCGGACTCCGCCGAGTCAGTCGAGAACGGCTCGCACTCCTCTCCCCTCTCGTCTCTTCCTCCAACCCGTTCCTGTCCCGCCCTCGCTCCCCCCCGGATTGTGCCATTCTGAGCTCCATATCTGGACCGCGGAGGGCTGGTAGTCGGTGCGGCGCGCAGTGGAAGCTCGAAGCTCGGCCGGCCCTCCTCCTCTGTCTTTTCTTCTGCCGGCTTGCGCCGTTAAGGCACTGGCGGGCCGGGACCACTGGAATATATTGAGGTTTCGAGGCCGTGCATGTCCGTCCTGCCTCGAGCGTTCCGTAGGTGCGCGCAGTCTTCCTTCTTCTCCCCCGCCTCCTCCTCCTCCTCCTCCTCCTCCTCCTCCTCCTCCTCCTCCTCCTCCTCCTCCTCCTCCTCTCTCTCTGTTGTTTGCTTGGCGCGGTAATTTTGGTTTTCAGTTCATGTCTCGTTTGTCGCGCGTTCCTTTTGTACCTCCCGTCGCCGTTTGGCTTGGCGTCGTGGTTGGGGCCACCTCGCAGGCCCGACTTTTTCGTGCCAATTTCGTTTCAAGGTCGACGATGCTCCCGCCGAAGGCGATCGCATAGCGTACTTCGGGTTCCAAGCGCAGTTCCACTGCCCTCCTGCCCTTTCGCTCCTGCTCTCCCTCCCATCGTCCACTCTTCCGCCCTGTTGGAGTCGAAACTGTGTAAGTGATTTTTCGGCGGTCGCACGGCAAATCATTTGTCCTCTCTCCAGTTCCCCCTCTCCTTCGCCTCCTCCTCCGCCGCTCGCCCGGGCAATAATTGTCACAGGTGGCCCCTTGTGTTTCCGTCCCACTTACAGTGGGGAGCAGGATTTGTCCGCTCCCGCGGTTGTCGACCACAAGGTGTTACTAGCTCTGTCCGCTCCCATCCCCCTGCTCCTCCAACAAAAAGACCTTTGTGGCCAGGGGGGGGGCGGAGTCGGGCTGCTCGGAGATGCCTGGGAGAGTGGGGCGCGCGCGCCTGACTGCGCGCACCTGCATTTGAGCATTTTGCAGAATCCTACCAGACAGCACTCGGCTTGATTCCACGCCCCAGCGCGCCACGAAGCTTGATGCGGGACCTGTGCAATTTACGACGATGTAACCCCGCATAGCGTGTTGTAGTGTAGTGCGTTTGCGTAACGTGAGCGCGAAGGCATGTATAGACTCCTGCGGGCAAGCGCACTCGCATACGCATGCACATGCATACAACATTCATTTCACAGCGTGCACGTATTCGGTTGCCTGGGGGATTCTGCCATGGCGCATTGGCAGAAGTGCGGCATGTCGAGGCCCCAGAGAACATTCAAATGTTTCAGCGGGGTTCGTTTTGAATATGTGTCCCAACCCTCATGTTCCGGGTTCTCGTTTCGAATACTGCACTCTTCGCGCGTCTCCCTCGTTCTTTTCCCTCCTCCTCCCCTCATTCATCGCCTCGTATCTCCTGCATTATGTGCGCTCCGTCGGGGCTGCGAAGTGCACAACTGTCACCACTTTCGTTGTTATTCCTGGGAGGTCCATCGAAGTGGAGGCACACGCGGACCCAGCCGAGACCTCACGGCTCCTTGGGTGGTTGCGAATTGCGCAATTGTCGTCATTTCCGTGGCTTCTGGGCAGCCCCGAGCCACGGGCGGCGACGCTTGGCGCCGCCCAAGCGATTACGAGGTCAACCTCGCGCGGAGATTCGAGGACGGGCGCGTCGACCCAGCCACGGGGGGAACGAGTGCCCCGCACTTTGAATAAGGACCACACGCTTCATGGCGCCGCTCGCAAACGCTTGCAACGCCGCGTGGGACGACGGGCAGAACGAGGTCTTACGGGATCCCCGCCGGAGTTTCCAGATGTTGCTGATGGGCCAGGCAGTCTCTGGCAAGACTGCGATCGCTTAGTAGACCGTACTGCACGCCAGGGACTTCCTGTTCGGGCCCTCTTCCACTCTGATCGCCGGTGCCAAATGGCTCTCGGCCTAGAACATCTCCACGAAGGCCCACGTGGCGGCAAAGGGGAATCGGCAAACACAGGAACTGGGAGATGTTACCTCATACCTCGGGCGGATAGCCGGACGCGTCTTGAGAAAATCTGGGGTGATCTGATATCCGTGAGGGCTTCGCCCCATGCCGCCGGCCCCCTGTCTCGGATAATGGGAGATGCGAAAGCTACATCATGAGGTCTGGGCGCCGCCGTGAAGCAGTGTTGGGACCTGTTTGTTTTTCGACCCTGACCTTATGGATCTGCTTCACGGGTGCCACTGAATTTCAGAAATGTGGCAAATCCCTTTTGATTTTGGACCCTGACCCTGCGGATCTGCGTGAGGGGTGCGACCGAATGTAAGAAATGTGGCAAATCCAATGTGATTTTGGACCCCGACCCTGCCGATCTGCGTGAGGGGTGCCGCCGAATTTTTGAAATGTGGCAAATCCCATGTGTTTTTGCACCCTGACCCCGCCGATCTGCGTGAGGGGTGTCACCGGAGTTCATAAATGTTGAAAATCCAATGTGTTTTTGGACCCTGACCCCGCCGATCTGCGTGAGGGGTGTCACCGAATTTTAGAGATGTGGCAAATCCCATGTGTTTTTGCACCCTGACCCCGCCGATCTGCGTGACGGGTGCGACCGAATGTCAGAAATGTGGCAAATCCGATGTGTTTTTGGACCCTGACCCCGCCGTTCTGCGTGAGGGGTGCAAGCAAATTTTAGACATGTAGCAAATCACATGCGTTCTTGGACCCTGACCCCGCCGATCTGCGTGAGGGGTGCCAGCGAATTTCAGAAATGTGGCAAGTCCCATGTGTTTTCAAACCCTGACCCCGCCGATCTGCGTGAGGGGTGTTAATTCTTACCCACCCCAGCATTTCAGAGCACACACTCAGGGCGTGGTAAAAATGCCCGTTTTGGGCCTCCCCCCGTCGCGCGGTCCATCAACAAGGAACAGTAAGCAGCAAGAAGCAGAACTGTAACAGTGGAAACTGGAAGCTGCAACTGGCACAGGAAACTGCGAACCTTCGCCCTACAGCCTGGTGGCCCCAGAAGGGGGCCGGCGGATTGTTCGTGATCGGGGAGGTGGGCATGGTGTCGCCGAAGCTGTACAACATGCTGTTGTACCGCACCTTCCCAGGCGCACCCAGTGCAATCTGGAGGAGGCGAACTACCAGAAACCTCCCTGCTCTTCTGGCCGAGTCCCCAGTGTGATCTATCCGGGGCATTTTTGTTGCTGATCCCGACAGGAACCGGAATATCGTTGCTGTCCGACATGCAGCTGATGGCGGCGACCGACAGCATGAGGGAGGGGCCGCCTGTCGAGCACCTGCAGGTCATGAAATCCTTTTGCGACGCGTCCCTGTGCTTAGAGTTCCAGGCCACGAGCCGTTTCAAGGGAGAACGCCTCGCGGAGCTGATGATTTCATGTGAAGGCCGCGAGCGCCCGCCGGCGTCGCCGATACTTGGAGCCGCATCCAGGTGAAGACGGACGATCCGAGGCTTTCCGAGGAAACGAGTCCAGACGGGCCATCTGCTCGCCTGGCTTCGGGACAGAGTGTCCCGTTGGATGATAATGCACGCGAAGAGGGGCGCGCAATTTCTTGGGCAAGTCCTCTACCTCGCATAGGCCGCCTACGTCTCCTCGCCCCCGCCGCCAGTGGGCATGAACGCGAAGATGATGAATCTGGCCAGCCCAGGCATGACAGGTGGCATGGGCCTGTCTGCTGCCGCTGCACTCGGGCACGTGGGTTCGTCTGCTGGCGCACCTGGACCCGAAGCGGAAGCTGGTCGACTGAGGGTACGGTCGCGCACGCTGCCATAAACCTTTCTGGCGAACTCGAAGTGCAACGGGCGAAGGCTGTTAACCGCCTTGCGCGCCTGCGGTACTTTCCTTTCGGGCTTTCGGCGCGTGGGCCGCATGGACAAGTGCCAGGCCGCCCCTCTGCGACCAGCTGGCAAAGCATGCCGAGGGTGTCGATGTCTTTGGCGCGGCGAGGTTTGTCTGCATCGAACCGCAGTCGCCCGCCCTTGTCGACGTCCACAAACACGCAGTCACGTGGACTGGCCTGCAAATTTCCCACGCCAAGGTGCTCGCGACGACGGTTTGCCAGGGGCGGACCTTGCGCAAGGGCGCCATCGTCGATGCCGGGCATACAGACGCCGATGACGTGGACGCCTTTTGGCTGCGCCTCCACGTCATCCTTTCCAAGGCGACGACGTCTGACAACCTTATCATCCGCGCCGCAGGCGTGGACGTCTCGTCCCGGGGGCCGCTGGCGGACCTGGCCGCGCGGCCCCGAACTTTCAAAACCCTCGCGATATACTGCAAGAAGCAGTCCATTACGATGGCGCCCGCGCTCGGCCTCGCCAGGCCAAGTTCCTGCGCGATTGAGGGCGGGGGGGCCGCGAGCGGGTTCGGGGCGCGTGCGCGCGTCGTCCGCGGCTTAGGCGGCGCCGCCGGCGACGCTTGCGATCAGCGTTAACCAGTCGAGCGTGGCGCGCAGCGCTGCTCCGTCACCCGACGCGCGGCGCTGTTGCATCGCGCAGCGCAGGGCGCTGGAGCGACCCCCTTTTCAGGCTCCAGTCGCCTGCTGCGGCACCACGGGCGAAGCCGGCGGATGTAGCGCATTGCGCTGTTACCTTGAACGGCATCCGCTCGCCGAGTTCACGCGCATAGCCACCGCGCGTGTAGAGGGGCTGGGGTGCGCCCCAGGTAATTCAATAGCGCACGCGCCAATATTCGGTTCATTGCGTGGCGGGCGACGGCGGGACTCGTCGCGAACAGACGGCCGCGCTGCGCGCGGCATCGCGCTTGGCAGCAGCGTGTTTCCGCATGCTCCTCACACGTGGGCGAACTATCCGTCGTGTCGGGGCCGTATCGGCAATATTTGTTGTTATTGTTCGTTTCGGTTTTGGCAGCGTTGCAAATTGGTAAGCGTAGCATGCGGTTGGGTGGGGCCGTCTGCCTGTTTTGGACGGGTCGTGCGCGCGAGAAACAGTTTTGTTGTTGCCCTCGTTTGTGCTAGTCTGGGGTAGTCGGTCCGTTGGTTTGTTATGGGGGTCGCTCAGGGGTCCCGAGGCAGTCTGGGGCCCCCTGGGCGTGTGATGTGGGCGAAGACCACAGAGTGCTCGCGCAGATGGCCGAACTCGCCGCCGGAGCTGATCGGAACTTGTGATCGTGTTGAACATTTTCCGCGGCATTCCTTCGGTTCCAGTATTGGGCGTGTCTTCGGTTGTCATGGACCTGTTTCCGGCCCGTCTTGGGATAGTTGGGTTTTTTTCTTTCATTTTGCGGTTGTCCTGGAATCTTGGGGGGAACGCGGCCCATAGAGTTCAGAAAAGTCATCAAGAAGCCTGATGGCCGGCAGTGATTCGTGCATGTAGTCTGGGGCGGCCTTGGGGACAAAACGGGACGGCAGGGTAGGGGGTGGTTTGTGTATTCTGTCCGGGTCATTGGTGGCAACTTTGGGTGGACATTTTGTACCGTGTGCCACCCCGTGTCCCGGACCGTCTCTCTAGTTGTGCGGGCTTGCTTTGCCTATTTGTCAGCCTGTTTGTCTGTGTGCATGGCCTGCGTCTAGTCATGCTGTTCGTAGTCGCGTGGCAGTTTTGTAGGCAAAGCCTGCAGCTCGTGACGAGGGTTTTAAGAGAGGGCAGGGTGTCGCCCCGCTCGGCCTGGGGAGGGGCGTTCCCGAACGGAGTTTGGAAGGCCTTCGGTGTACCTCGTGGGAAGCATTGCTAGTTGACTGGTTAGCCCAATCCCCCAGACCGTTCGAACAACATCACGACGGAATTGCGGATCCCCCGTTTTGGGTTTTTGAAGACGCGCTTCGGACCGCTGGGGCCATCACATAACGTCTCAGGATGGAAAAGTGGCCCCTGGGAGGGGTCTCAGAGCGTGGAGGAAAACAGCAAAGAGAACTCAGGTCGAGGTATGGGTGTGTGTCGCAGACAGAAGAGCGACGTTCGCAGGTTTGGGAAGGAGGGATGACATTCGAAGTGCTGAGTCAGTAGGTGTAGTCAGGGGATGTGCTGAGTATTACGCAGATGAGGCATTCCTCGTGGGCATTTCGTTTGAGCTCTTGTTCTGGATCCTCGGTTTGGGGTTCCTTGTCCTCAAGGTTTCCTGTAATTTTGTTCGGGTCGCAACTGTCGTTTTTGGGGCCAGTGGTGGCGTGCAGCATCGTTCTCCCGAAGAGGGGATCCATGGCGAAGCAGGCCACACGGCTGCGCTGCAGGTGCTCTTGCTTGTTGTCTACGTGTCATGCGGCCTGTCGAAGATGGGTCCAGGGTTCCGCGGTCCTGGCGAATGTTCATCCCCCACGAACGGATGTGAAGGTTCCGGGAAAGGCCACAAGAGGGCTGGATCGTGTGCAAAGGGGAAAGCCCTGAGGTCGCCCGCAGGGGCGCGAGGGGGAACCCGTGGCCTCGCGCTCCGTAGAGCGGTCCTTCTCCGTGGGGGGGCGCGCCAGAGTATGATGACACAAACGGGCCTCTCGCTCCGTGTGGCGCGAAGGGCGGGATCGGGTAATCGACAGGACTCGCAGAGCCCCTCCTCTCCAGGTGTGGACCTCGGGCCACCGACGCTTTGGCCCCCCACGCGCCCCGGGCGGGAACTGTGAGTTTTGGGGTCGGCGGCGTGTCCACTGGGTTTTGTCTTGTCACACTCTCGGGATGGTGTGACCCAGTCCGAGCAGTCTGCGTAATTACCTCAAGTTTTGAAGTATTGCCCAAACAGTGCTCGCACAATGCCGCCTTGCGCCCGCTCAGTGCTCTGGCCTGCGTTTCCCGGCTTTCGCTGGGTGCCCGCCCGTGCCCTCTTCGTGCCCGCCCGTGCCCGCCGCATGCCCGCCCCGTGCGTCGGCTGGCTGACGTTTGCGGGTGCACACATAGATTGCAGCACGCAGGATGGAAACGAAGCTTGCGCAGCATAGCTTGCCACTCCCACCTTGTACGACATGTCTTTCTTTTATGAGAATTATCCCAGTGCGACCCTACCTAGGAGTTGGAGCATTTAGGAAAGCAACATCTGCATCTACACCGACAGCTACATTTACATCTACACCTGCAGCTGCACCTACATCAACACCAACAGCGAGACTCACATCTACATCTACATCTACAGCTATGCGGTGCTGTGCTGTGCTAAGCTATGCTATGCTGCGCTGTGCTATGCTAAACAATGGTATGATATGATATGCTATGCTATGTGCTGCGCTATGATATGCTACTGCTAATGTTAATGCTATGCTATGCTATGCTATGCTATGCTGAGCTATGATATGCTATGCTATGCAATGCTATGCTATGCTTGACTATATGATGCTAGGCTATGCTGTGCTCATGCTGCGCTGCGCTATGCTGCGCTAAGCTAAGCTAAGGTAAGCTAAGTTATGCTTAGCTAAGCTAAGCTAAGCTAGGCTAGGCTAGGCTAGGCTAAGCTAAGCCAAGCCAAGCTAAGCTAAGCTAAGCTCGGCTAGACAAAGCTAAGCTAAACTAAGCTAGCCTAAGCAAAGCTAAGCTAAGTTAAGCTACAGCTAAGCGACGCTAAGATGAAGCTAAGCTAAGCTAAGCTAAGTTAAGCTAAGCTAAGATGAGATAAGCAACGCTAAGCTAAGGGGACGTAGCTGGGGGAACCGCGGGTCGGATACCGGGGGAACCGCCCAGGGCGGTTTCCACTGCCCGGCCCCTTTAAGATAGAGAGTAAGAGCCCTTCTAGGCAGAGCCTACGTAGGGAAATCTACTATTTGATTTACCCCCACACACATACTTATCGACAGTGAGGCCTGGGATATCCGTTTACCTCCGCGTAAGTGTTCTGAGATATCGTGCGCGATATGTCATATGGAGTGCCAGGAAACAAAGACAATGCTAGGAGGCCTGGTATCGCCCCCCCGTCATCCGTGCCAAGCAGTACCATGCGGTGAACACGCGTCAACAAGTGCGTTTCCAGAACCCACTGCAACATAATACCATGTGGGCCGCATCCGCGGTCCCCCCCCCACGCCCGCGCATGTCAAACAAAGATGCAATATTATGTTTATGGTTAACCATTGTCTTCTGCACTATCTCGAACTATGAACTGGATCATGTCTCTCTATAGAAACATGTGTATGCATGTATGTAGATATACGCATACATATCTGAGTGACGGGGGGAAGCGGTCATTAATTGCCCCTGCGCGCGTGCTTGAAGTGGTGTTTCCGCTGTGCGGATTGATGTTGCTGTTGCTGTTTATGTTGTTGTTGATGGTCTTGTTGTTGCGTTGCTGTTGTTGTTGCGGTTAGTGAGGTTGTTGTTGTTTAAGGTGGGTTTGTTGGTGTGGTTGATGTTGCTGATTAATGTTGTTGCGTTGTTGCTGTTAATGTTGGTGGTGGTGGTGTTGCCGCTGTTGTTGTTGATGGTGTTGCTGTTGCTGGTGCTGGTGTTGTTGCCGTTGCTTCGTTGCTGTGGTTGGTGTTGGTGTTGGTATGGTGGTTGTTGATGGCGTTGATGTGTTTGTTGTTGTTGCGGTTGTTGCGGTTGCTCTTTTTGTTATTGTTATGGGTGTTGGTGTTTGTGTGTTGGGTTTGTTGATGTTGTTGTTGCTTTTGTGTGTTATATTGTTGCGATGATGCTGTTGTTGTTGTTGGTGGTGGTGGTGGTGCTGATGCTGTTGTTGTTGTTGTTGTTGTTGTTGTTGTTGTTGTTGATGATGATGTTGTTGTTGATGTTGTTGATGCGTTGTTGTAGTCGTTCTCGCCCGCAACCCACCCCGCGCCCCGCCCCGCATCGCTTCGACGAAAATATCGGCGCCTGGGGCTCGCTGCATAATTTCTAAATGTGGGCCTACGGCGGGCTTCTTCAGAGCCTCGCAGACTGCCGACGAATCCGCCGTCCCCTCACTCTTATCCGCATCTGCAAAGTGTTACGTATTCTCGACTAACACGCAACCCCACCAGTCCATCCAGGATCGATGCCAAGACTAGTCACCTTGATCAGGGATGTGAAGGACCATGCAGTGCAATTCGCCGGCCCAACGGGCCAGAGGCGTGCTAAGATCTCCGGTAACTACTTAACAATATTTCTAGTTCGCGCGCGCGGGGCGGCCCCTAGGGCCCCCCAGACGAAAAGTACCCCGGCCAATCCCCGGCCGGGTCCCGGCTGGGTCCCGGGCGATCCTCAGGGGGGAGGCTATTGTAGTGGCCTTCGGCCAGTGCCGCCGATCCGGGGCGCTCCGACTGATGTGATCCTTCTTCGCCCTCGTCCCTCCTCTCTTTTTCCCTCCCCTCCTCTCACTCAGCATTTATCCAGTGGCCGTCGGCCTATCCCGCCACCGTGCGTGGGTGGTGGGTCAGAGGCCTCATGGATGCTGGTTGGGATCTCGTGGTTGGCTGGGACTTCTGGGGGCCTCTTGGGCGCCTCTTGGGGCTTCTTGGGGGCCTCTTGGGCCTCTTGGGGCCACTAGAGGGCCTCTTGGGGGTCTCTTGGGAGCCTCTTGGGGCTTCTTGGGGGCCTCTTCTGCGCCCCTTGGGGCCTCTTGGAGGCCTCCTCGGAGCCTCTTGGTGCGGGAGGGGTGGTACTCGAGTTCGGAACCCCCTCGGAGGCCACGATCCTTGTGAGGGGTGTCAAAAAATGCATCCGCCGGAAACTCGCACCCCCCCCCCCACCCCTCCTTCCCCGGCAGAGCCACCCCGGCAACCCCCCCAGAGGCTGAGGCTCAGCCTCGAGGCTGTAGCTGAGACTCCTTGAAACTCACACGCCGGATCGGCGGATTTTTCGCCACCCCTCATGAGGATCGTGGCCTCCGAGGGGGTGGTTGCAATCGACTACCCCTCCTCCCGCCCCAAGGGGCCCCCAAGAGCCCCCCAAGAGGCCCCAGGGGAGCCCAAGACGCCGCCGAGGAGCCCCAAGACGCTCCCAAGAAGCCCCCAAGAGGCCCCCAAGACGGCCCCAAGAGGCCCCAAACAGCGCTCCAGGGCCGGCGGAATGAGCGAAGCGATTAAATAAAGGACTGGTTAAGACGTCATAGCTCAAGAGGGGGAGGATGGAGGAGGAGTCGTAGGAGCCAGTGGAGGAGGAGCAGGAGGAGGAGGAGCAGGAGGAGGAGGAGGAGCAGGAGGAGGAGGAGGAGGAGGAGGAGGAGGATGGGGATGGAGAGGGGGAGGAGGAAGGAGGAAGGAGGAAGGAGGCAGGAGGAAGGAGGAGGAAAAGGCGGATGAGGAAGAGAAGGAGGAGGGCGAGCAGAAAGCCAGAAGCCTTTTTGATACCTCTCGGGGTCTCTTCGGATTTCTTCGAGAGCTTTCTTAGGGGGGGTCTTTTGGCAGTCCCGGGGGCCTTTTGAGGCGTCTTTGGTGCCTCTGGCGAGCCTCTTGAGGCTTCTTGGGGGTCTCTGTGAAGCCTCTCGGGGACATCTTGGGGGCTTCTTGGGGCCTCATGGGCACCTCTCGGCGGGGCCGTATTGGGGCATCCTTGGGAGCCTCGGAGGCCATTTTGAGGCCATCTTGGAGGAGATCGATCAAAGGAGGGGCCGTAGTACATTAGGCCCCCCCGCGGAAGACCAATATGTGGCCAGCACCTTAGTCGGAGTCTGCGGGGTGAGATCGCAGTGGAACGGAGAGCCCCCCACCGGGAAATCGGTTTCGGTTTTGTGTTCGTGTCGCATGTGCGGGCGAGGCGAAGCTGCGCGGGCGCGCGAGAGGAATGATGCCGCCGTGACTAGGGGCCGTGGAGCTGTTTGACAGACCCCCCCGCTTGCCAGGCGCGCTGGTGCCAGGGGTGCCCCGTCGGTGGCCCCCAGTCTGCCCTGCTGGCGTACGCTCCGCTGCGCCACGTGGGCAGTCCGTGCACCTCCAACAGGTGGGCCTCCACGCGCTAAGACCAGATCCGACAGGCATGAGCCAGATCACTCGGCAACTCCGTTCCCGCTTTCCACGGCCAGTGATGATCATCAACCTCCCGCGGCGTTGGTCTGACTAGCGGGGGCCTGTCGATGGAACTTTTTGGGCAGCATCGGTTTGGGCCGCTTCGTCTGATTCGAGAACCCTGCGAACGTGATGGTCACTGGCGAGTGCCATCTCGCTGTCGCATTTGGCCCGATCGAGGTGCCTGAAATAAACGGTGCGATAATTCGACTGATTGAAGAAATATAGCCCTCGCGCCAAACGTTGGCTGCCCTGTGGCAGTATTATTTGCTTGCATCTTGCAAACCGACTGCTGCGCGCCATTTGGCACCAAGTTCCGATTGCCCCGATCAACCATGGAAACCCAAGCTTGTCCATTGCCCTGAGACGTGACCACCATCTTGATCTTATCACCAGCCAGTCCAATGTTGCTGTGCGAATGCGCTGACACGATGACCAGTGGCAACGGGACACCGATGTTGATCCTGCTGACTACAATCCTCGACTTAGGAAGCTCCTCGCCGCCGCTGAAGTCAATCATGCCCGCTGGCTACGTGCTCAGCACCTCGCAGCCTGCACTCGATTCCGTAGGCCCTGGACCTGTGATCTTCGCCAGTGACACGGACATTTGATAGCCTTGTTGTTTCGCCAAGTCGTGACGCGTTGGTGCTTGATCGCACATTTGATTTGATGCTCCCGGATATAGAGGGCGAATTGCAGAATGCTTTCTGGTTCTGCGCCCCTAGCTGCCATGTGATCGCCATCCACTGGTGTTTCCCCTATCTGGAGCTTCCTGGGATCCCCCGATACCACCAGGTGATCTCCTCTTAGGGGGGTCCTGTGGTCGGGTGCTGCAGCCGAGAGCCTGGCCACCGATTCTACCTACCAGGTGTTCCCTTCATGGGGGCTTCCTGGGATCGGCGACCTAGAACCTCTGGGCCTCCCGCTGTTGTCTCCCCACCAACCAGGAAGTGTCCGGTTCGGGCCGGTTCGGGCCGGTTCTGCGGCGGACCGGTTCGGTTGCAGCGGTTCGATTTCGGCGCCGGTCCGGTTTTGGTCGGTCCGGTTTTGCCAGTCCGGGTCGGTTATGCCGGTTCGGTTCGGCGGCCGCGGGACGGTCCGGTTTTGGGGGGGCCGGTTTTGGGCCGGAGGAGGAGAAGGAGGAGGAGGAGGAGTGAGGAGGAGGAGGAGGAGGAGGAGGAGGTTTAGGAGGTGGGCGAGGAGCGAGGTGCCAGGAGCGCGGAGCGAGGAGGCTCGCGCGCCCATCGGCTCCGCGCCCGGCGAGGTGCCTCGCTGAGGAGGAGGGAGGAGGGGGTCCTCGCCTCCCCCCCCCCGCGCCCTGCTGCACTTCCGAGGGGGGTGCTGGCACCGGGGGGGGGGGGTGCCGGCACCGGGGGGGGGGTGCCGGCACGGGGGGGGGGGGTGCCGGCAGGGGGGGGGGTGCCGGCACCGGGGAGGGGGGGTGCCGGCACCGGGGGGGGGGTGCCGGCACAGGGGGGGGGGGTGCCGGCACCGGGGGGGGGGAGCCGGCACCGGGGGGGGGGGGGGGGGCGGCGCCGGGGGGGGGGTGCCGGCACCCGGGGGGGGGGGGGCCGGCACCGGGGAGGGGGGTGCCAGCACCGGGGGGGGGGATGCCGGCACCGGGGGGGGGGGTGCGGGCACCGGGGCTCTTCTGGCGGCTTTCTTGGGCCAGTGGGGAGTCCCGGGGCCCGGTTCGGTTCCACCCGGTTCGGGCTTGCCGTTCGGGCCGGTTTCGACCGGCCGGTTCGGTTCGAACCGCCCGGTCCGGTTTCAGCCGGTCCGGTTCGGGCTCCGGTTCGGGCGGTTCGGTTGCAGGAGCCGCCGGTTCACGGTTGCCAGTTCGGTTCGGACTCTTCTTGACCAACGCTGGAAATGTCCACGGCAGCAGCCGCGGTGGCCCACTCCATGAGAGGCTGAGATGAGGTTCAGACAGAAGGGTTGAGGTTCCACACCGTGAAATTGGAATTCGTGCAACCCGAGCTGCCTCTTGGCGTGGGCGGTAATGTCCTCAAGGAATCGCTTGTGCATTTCGTCGCCGCCAGCGGCTGCAACTCCTGCGTTCTTGAACTTCTCCTTAAGGTCTGTGGTTTCTGGGTCCAAGTTGATAGCAGTAGGCTTCCCAATATCATATACACTCGTGGCCTCGGTCACCCCGTACAAGTGTCTTCCTCTGTTTAGACATTTTCTTGTGGAATCTCTTATTGTTGGGCTACGCCTTGGAGGAGGGTCGTTGCCTCGAGTCCAAACTTGCCCGGGTATTTGCGCAGGGCTTTGTCCAGGATGCCCAGCATCTTGGGTTCCTGGGTGGGGCCACTTCCTTTGTCGATTTTGGGTGGCTCTGGCAGCACTACTGCTGCTTGATCTTCGTTGATGTGCAACTCGGTCTATATGAGGTTGTTCCAGTGGGACTGATGCTAGCTCCTTATCATAGAGTCGCTGCTCCTACTGCAGCGCCTCCTTTGCATCGTTGACATGCTTCCTTCTCCGATGACTCGATCTGCCTGAGCTTCTTATCCTTCCTTTGGAGGGTGTCCTGAAGCCCTTTCTTGGATTGGTCGGCTGCCGCAGGGACTGCCTCCTCGGTCTTCTTGAGCAACTCCTGCAGCTGCTTCTCGAGGGTTGAGCCTGACTCGAGGCCCTTCTCGTGCAGCATTTTGAGCAGCACCTCGTTGGACATGCGAGCCACTACAGCTCCATCCTGCCAGCGCTTACCTGAGTCACGAAGCCTGCCGGGGGCTAGTGGGTCAACGGTTGACCCTCCTTCAAATGCTCCGTTCCCATGCAGCTACCTCATCAGATTAACGATGTGTTGCGGCGCCTTACTTTCGCATTCGAGGAAGCCGCAGCACGGGTCGCGACACGCCCGAGTTTTGGTCTGGCCTTGTCCATGCCCTTGCTGCCACGACGCCGCACTGCGTGACATGAACTTCTCGAATGTGAAGGAATGGCTCGGACCAGCTGCACCACTTCCAAGTGCGCATTTTCCAAAGGTTAGCTGAACAACTCGAAACCTGGAAATGGCTTAGAGGAGGATAGGGAGGACGAGGAGGAGGAGGCCTTTGCGGATCTATTGTGTGAGAGCATATTGTAGGTTGTTTGGGGCTTTGTTGGGGCTCTATTGGAGCCCTCTTGGGGTCCTCTCGGGACTGTATCGGTGCCCTCGTCGGGCCTTCGTGATTTTTTGTTGGGGAACTTGGGTGGGGAGATTGTGGCCCATGTGGCTCAACGGGAGGGGGATTCAGGTTACCTCCATCGGAAGCGTAAGCAATGATGGGGGCCTCTTGGAACGCTTTTTGGGGCCGGCTAGGGGCCCTCTTGAGCTCATCTTGTGACTATCTTAGGTCATATTGAGGCCCATCGGATGCGAAAAGGCGATCAGGCAAATCTCATAGGTTATTCTGGCCTCTTGGAGTCCTCTTGGGGTGCCCTCGGGACTGCCTCTAGGGAATTTCAGTATGTTTTTTGTTGAATGCTTTGGAGCCTTCCGGAGGATCGGGGCGGGAGAGGGGACCTTGCGGCCTTCTTTGGGCGATCTTGAGCCTTCTGGCTCAGGCGGGAGGGCGGTTATTTCTTCCTCGAAAGCAGACGACTCTATCTTGGGCGCGAAGTGCCGAAGATGCGTAGACTCACCTGGGAATCGCGATTTGGTTTGGCCGGTCGCTTAGCACAACCTTGGGCATAATCTACGGAAGGTCGACTCATTTTGGACATCGCGATTTGGTTGTGCGGCGGGATGCTTGTATTCTCTTTTGGGAACTCGCAGCGTATCGGAGACACCCAGGAATTTGAGATATAGGTTGTGCCAAGCGGAATCGCTGCCCAACTATGGCACAACCTATTGCGCAACATATGGAGGTTTGACTCATTTAGAACACCGCCACTTGGATGTACGTGGTGTGCGGTGGAAAGGAAATGTTCCGCAACCTATGGTGTGACCTAATGCGTAACCCATGAGCGGCATTTGGGAACGTGGAATGTGGTTGCGTGGCGTGGTGACCGCCATAACTTCCGGCGAAGCATACCGAAGAACATGTATGTACATGGGATGTTCGATTCGGTTGCACGATGAGGTGTTTGGCCCAAGTTAGGTGCAACCTACGGCGCATCGTTCGGCGGTGTGGATTTGTGTGACGTCACGTGATGCAATTGTCCAGGGATGCCTGCCGCATTTCGTTGTGTTGTACGCTCTGGCCTTGATGTATGGCCCTCCATCTGCACGAACGAAATGGGTACTGAAATAATGGGTACAATTCCTATTCATTTTGAACAGGACTCGTTGTCGGTGTCGCCGCGGCCTGTGTACACTTGAGATAGAAGGCCGCCTGCCCAACAGCGGCCGCTGTTGGTTTGGGACAACATTGGTTGTTGGGTTTGTGCCCATTTTTTCCGTACCCACTTCGGACGTCCAAACTCCAGGTTTGCCGAGGCCGTTACAGAGTGTTGCATTCTTTATGTATGTACAGATCTGCAGGTTTTCTTACGTGGCCATGCTGGAGTGGACTCAGCCTTCAGCGTTCGCGGGTCGCGCGTTCTGGCAGCGGCTCTTCGTCTCCGACGCTGCAGCTCAGAAGTGGTCCCCGTCGCTCTTTGCAGTGGTGCTCGCGCGTGGGGCTGCAGTGGTTGAGTGGGCCACGCCCCTTCTTTTCCTGTGCCCGCCGTTAGTCTTGCACAAAGTGGGGCTGGAATGTCTGGGAACTGCGCCCGTCGACTTCGCTCTGCTCGTGATGTGCGGCATGCACGCGTACATCATCTTTCACCTCGGGAGCGACGTGAACATGTTGAATTCGGTCACTGCGTTGTGGTGCGTCTACGTGTTCCGAATCAGGAGCCTGGGCACATTCCGCTGTGCCGCCTTCTTCCCACGACCCTCGCGTATGTCAGTCTAGCCAGTGCTGCGATCACATGTGGCAAGCCGTCTGTATGACAACTAGAGCTTCAGTTTATTCTCACTGCGTTCCAGTCACACGACATCAGTTGGGGCCGTAGCGGTTCGTATTTAAATTGTTATCAGGGCGAGTGGGGTCTGACATGATCAGTCCATCATTATGCGTGTAGCCCCCTCATCGAAGTTTGGTCTTCCCAAGCGGGCTCCAGCTGGGCCCAGGGGCGCACAACGAAGCTTAGAAGTTCATCGAAGATAGTTCCAGTGAAGGGCTGCCAGGCGCAAGCAGACGGCCATGGCTACCCAAAGGTGCTCCACACAATTCCTCAATTCCCCGGCAGCAGCAGCAGCTGCTGTTGCAGGAGCAGCGGCAACAGCGGCAGCAGTGGCAGCCGCATTGCCAGCGGCAGTGTAGGCAGCAGCGCTTGCACCAGAACCAGCCTCGAGCAGTAGCAGCGCCAGTGCCAGTACAAGGAGCAGCTTCACCACCAGCACCATCACCTCGCCCTGGCCCCCTCTCCCCCTCCACCTGCCTGCGTATCAGTGTTCCCCTTGCCCTTTCCCTCTCCTCTCCTTGCAGCCCCGCTCAACGATGTGCTGTCAACCGAGTCTGCGAGGTTCTTCTCTTTTTTGTGCACCTCTGCTTTGACTTCGGCTTCAACTATGAGGTACGTCGAAGCGCCTTCGGGCCAGCTCACCCGAGCCGGTTTGCCGCCCGCACGGGTGCCCCCCCGCCTTCCCTCATTCGCTCCCTCATTTCCGTTCTCCTCCCCGCTCGCTTTCCGTCCCCGCTGGCTCTTCCTGCTGCCGTTGGGGCTTCTTGGAAGCAGGCCGCCCGACTGCGGTGGCGATAGGCAAAAGTGCAGGCACTTGCACCAGGAGGGCAGCCGCGATAGCGGCAGCAAGGGCTAGAGCATGTCGACGACGTCATCTTTGTCATCGGCCGTGTCCCGCCGCCGCCGCTGCCTTGTCCTTGCCTCCTCTCGTCCCCTGTAGAACAGACAGAGACCAACATCTTAGTAGGCACCCGTTGTCGCGAGCGCCCAGGAGCGTGGGTTTCGACTACGAGGACTTTGCGGTCATGGGCTGCGCGCCGCGCCTCGCCTTGCTCCTCCTGGCTCTGCTGGTGGCGCTCGGCCACCTGAGGCCGGACGCCGTGTGCTGCCAAACGGCGTACAGGCGCCCGGCCTCCGCCCGGGCTGGGGCGGGTTGACCGTCGACCCCAGCTCCGCGGCGGCGACGACGTTGGTGTCGTCGCCTCGAAGATTTTCTTTCAGTCGTCGAACCTCGAATGAGGAGAAGTTTGCTGCACAGTTAGCCTGGTGAAGATCCCAACCCGTTCTCAAAACCTGGCGACTAAGAACAGGATCGTTCAATCAGCATGCACAATAATATTGTGAGGGGCATGCGGTACCCCTGAACGTTTCGCCAAAAACTTTAACCTTGCTCAACGTGATCCATGCACGCGCGCACTGTCACGATTCAATATGCATTGAGGGAAGATGGCGACGAACGCGCCGAGGAGCAGGCGGGTGTGGGTAGAGAGAGGAGGAGGAATGATATCTTGGGGAACGATATGCGCGAGGAACAGCGCCCCGCGCTACATTTGCGTTGCAGCCACGCGCTATATAAGAGAACGGCACGGAGCGTTGAGTGCCGCAAACGCCCGACCACGTTGCGGGCGAGAGGCAGCTGGGGAAACGGCGGGAAGTGGGCCATGGACAGCTCTGTGCGCTACGCGACGCCCGGGCGCCCCGCGTTCTGAGAAGCAGCAACACCCCGCACTATATGACAGGACAGCGCAGCGCGCGTTGCAAGCCGCGCATGTAAAGCGAGACGCAGATAGAACCACATGCGTCGAACGGTTCCTCGTTTATAGATACCTGAGACAGCTCGCAAGTTCGCCCTTGCGCGGCGGGTCCATCACGGACGAGCGTGAACTCAATTGTACGGTTCCAGGGAAGCACGCGGGGCCCAGGCTGGGGGTGCCGCGATTGCGCCGTAAACTACGCTTGCCCAGCTGGATCGGGTTCAGCCACGGGGAGGAAGAAGACTCCCCAAGTTTCGCAGCGAGGGCCCTTGCCGCCTTCCTGCAGCCCCCCTTGTGAGTCAGGAATTTGTTCAGCTGGTTGTGCAGGCACGTGGGCGGCCCCCGCAGCAGGAAGTCAACAGGGTGCGCACGCATCAGCAGGGGGTCCTCGCTGCGCGTCGCGCGCGAAAGCAGGACACCGAGGTCAAGCCACCAGTCGTCGTCGTCGCCGCCGCCGCCGCCGCCGCCGTCGTCGTCGTCGTCGTCGTCGTCGTCGACGGCGTCGTCGTCGTCTTCGCCGTCGTGTCCCATTCGCCCACGAAGCGTGTGAGGGGTGTGGCGAAATGGGGCTGGGCCGCCATGCGAACTTTGCCATTGGGGCCGTCGGTGGAATTCTCCATGGGGCCGCGAAGCGTGTGCTGGGTGTGCCGAAATGGGGCGGGGCCGCCATGCGAACTTCGCCACTGGGGCCTTCGGTGGAATCAATTCCTTTTAGAGTCACGAAGCGTGTGAGGGTGTGCCGAATTGACCCGGGGCCGGCATACGGTCCTTGCCACTGGCCTTCGGTACAATTCCTGATAATTAGGGACAAGGAGCGCGTGAGAGGTGTGCCGAATGGGGCGAGAACGCCATGTGCCGACCAAGGGTGCAGCAGCAGCAGCAGGAACGGCAGCGATGGAAGGAGGGAAGAGGGACATGAGAAGGAGGAGAGGGGGGATGAGGCGAATGAGCAGGAGGAAGGAGGAGGAGGGGGCAGGAGGAAACGGAAGGAATGAAGAAAGGAAGGACTCGCGCCGCGCTGCGGATTCAAAACGAGGACCCAACACGCAGGATGGTTGGGAAAACGTGTTTGAAACTCCGCGCGGATTTCTCTGAGCCCCTTGGCGGCGCCTGCACCGCTACCCCTGGGGTGAGCGCCGATCCCAGAAATCTGCGCCGACTTCCATCCTGCAGCCTCAAAGCAGTGTTTCTGGAGTCTGCGCGACAGATGGCATGAACAAGATCGGGCGTGGTGGTATCCTTGAGCATCTGTCAGGGAGCATTATTGCCCATATCGTCCCATGCATGTTCGCGAGCATTCCACGTCCACGTTTTGCAGTCCATCCTCGGTACCGTTCCCCAGGTTCTCCTCTTCCTTCCCATTTTTTTCACTATTCTTCTCATCCTCTTATGTTCCCCTCTCTTCCCCTTCCCTTGCTTGGACCCATTGATCCTACATCTACCCTCTCACTCTCCCCGTGCTGACCCTGCAGGTTCTGGGCTGGGAACTGGCCGCAGGCGTTCTACGCCTTCTCGCCTGCCGGCCTGAAGAAGCTTGGAGGGGTGGGAGGGGAATCGCAGGAACGGTAACGGGTGGGGGAGTTGGGCAAAGTAGAGTTGCGTTCTCGCCTCATCTGACATCCGACCCCTCCCTTGCGTGCCTCGTCGTCGTGCTCAGTCTGAGCTGATGTTTCCTCTGCGACACATGCTCCTAGCTGTCTCTGCAGCTTCTCGGCCCAAGCTCTCCTCGGCCGCGGCGCGGGCGCCTCATGCAGGCGATCGCGCAAGCTGCCATCGGGGGAGCGAGGGGAATCATCTTCAGCGGGTTGCGAGCCACGCTCTACGAGCGGCTCGCGACTCTGGCCAGCTTTCCATCCACTTCAGGACCAGAGTGTGTCTCCCCCTGGGGGGCCCTCTGGTCTACCCAGGCGGACCCACTTAGATGAGAGGCCGCCCCCAGCCCTCTTCCTCCCGCGGGCTCCGCCTGCCCCGCCGTCTGCCTCGGGCTTGCGGTGGACCTGAGCGGCGGGGTCATTCCCTGGCTGCTTTCGACGGGCGTCGCCCTCATGGCGACGGTCGCGTGCAGTCTCTGCGGAGGCTGCTGCCTGGGGTCCTTCGTGGCCCACTAATTAGTTCACGTTGAACCCCTCCTTTCGTCAAAACCAAGGCCACAAACGCGTCCCTGAAAACAGTGCGCATCTGTTTTGAGTTTGCGCAGCGGCAAGCAGTTCGCTTGGTGCACAAGTGTGATTCCTGTGCCGTCCAGGGGCGGGGGGGCAGGAGGGCGCGCAGAATGTTGATTCACAAACACGCCACAGGTGAGCCAAACACTGCGCCACGCAATTTCTGACGTCCCCGATATAGCCCGCGCGGACGTGATTCATAAATTGCGCTCGCAGGAGCGCGCGCAGGGCTTCAACCAATAATCCCCGACGTGATCCTTAAATTCGATGTCTTGGTCATGCAGAGAAAATGTATGGATCAATTTTCGGCGCGTGGTTTTGGCGGTTGCGATGATAAGGGTGTTTGTGTGTCCCATTACGCGCAGGGGTGGGTGCCTTCCGGTTTCTTGGGCCTCGTGGATCGCAGATGCAAAATGCATTTGGTCGCGATGTAACGTCGGTGGGGGGGCCTGACCGCGCGCCGCGGCTCCTGGCCCCCGTGAGCAGCGCCGTCGTACGTCGCGGGCACTTGGGCACGGCGCCGCGCCTGCCCTGGTCGACCAGGCACTTGAGCGGCCCCGTGCCAGTCGACTCGCGAGGCTGCAGTCGCCCCGCCGCGGGGTTGAGCCCCTTCGAGCGGCGATTTTCGGCCGCTCGTCGCGAGCCCAGTTCGCGCGCGCGTCGCCGCGCGCGCCGCGGCGCGGCGCGCAGTGGCGCGGCCCTCTGTTGCCGACGGGCCTATCCGGCCCGGGCCTAGCGATCCCCTTCCTTCGGCGCGGAGCTACGCGCTGTGCCCGCTGTCGCTCGGGCGAAAGAGATGCTAGTTTCACGGCCATCCCCTCGGCCACCCGCGAGGGGGCGCATCCCCGCGGTTCTGCCGGCCCCTTAGATCGACCGAAACTTTCGGGCCGAGGGGGCTGCCGGCTTCGCGGGCGTCGACGGCCCTGATCAGTCAGGTGGTGAACATCCCCCTTCTTTTGGGCGCCGTCTCGCGCGCCTTGTCCACAGCGGCAGTCGCCCTCGCCGTTGTGCTCGAGATCGCCGAGCCTCACCCATGAGGCGCGCTCGCCCTGCGAGAAGGGTGCCCAGCGATCCACGGGGCCCCTCTCGGCGGCGGCGAGGACCTCCTTCCCGGCGTCGACCTTGCGACCCCGCGCCAGAAGGCGGGCGAAGCGGGGCCCGTTGCAGAAGACTCCGACAGCGACGTCGACTTCCCGACCCTGCCGCTGGCAGCCCTGTCGGCCGTTCTTCGGGGGCCGCCTCCGCCGCGGGCCCGGGGGCGCGCTCCCCCACCGATCGCCGCTCCCCCCCCCCCCCGCGATTGCCGCGGGGGCCCCGCCGTCGATGAAGGCTTTGAGAGGCGATCCCCGAGCCCGACGCAAGCCGCGACGCGCAGTCCGCGCTCCCCGTCGTCGGGGGACGCCCACTCCGTCCGCAGGACAACGAGGGCCGCGGCGCATCGGACGGAGCCGCCCGCGAGTCCGACGCCAGTCTGCCCGCGGAGAGGCAACCCCGCATTCTAGAGTCGGCCTCGGCGGCGGGCGCGGACCCCGGGTGCCCCCGCGCAGCGAGGTGGCGCCCGCTCTCAGGCCCCCTCCTGAGAGGGGCCGCCCTCGGTCCGCGGGGCCCGCCGAGGCCCCGCGCCTTCGGTCCTCGGAGTCGGCGGGGGCGCGCGCGGCAGGGGCGTTGCCCGCCGCTGGCCGACGCGCCCCGGCGCCGCCGCCCCTGTTCGCCGCGCGCAAGCCGCCGCCCTTGCCCCCGCCGCGCCCGCGGCCCCCTGCGAATTTCGCCATGGGCGCCTCGAGCTCTCCGCGAAGGCACCCCGCGCCTCCCGCGGTAGATCTCGCCCCGCGCGGGCGGCCGCCTCCGGCGCGGCAGCGTCGCCACTTCCTTCAGCAGGCGTGCGCCCTGCCAGCGGCGCTGTCGCGGCCCCGCCGAGCGCCGCGGGCGCTCGCGGCCCCCCCGCCCCCGCTCTGGGGGCGCAGCGGCGGGGCCCCCGCGACGACGCCGTCGGCCGCGCCGCGTTCCCCGCGGCCGCGGCCCGCGGCATTCTCGGCCCGCCGCGCCGCGGGCGAAGAGGCAGTCGACCCCGCCCGCCCCGCGGGCCCGGCGGGGGCCTTCGCTGGCGCGCGCGGCTTGGCGGCGAGACAGTCGCCGCGTCGAGCTGGGCGGAGACTTGGGCCCCCGCCACCCAGGCGGCCGCCGGGCGGCCGCGAGCTTTCGCCACAGACGGGGTCGATGGAGTGAGCCAGATCGACCAGCTCGATTGCCTGCTGAAGCCGACGGCTGCAAGGTGCCGCTCGGGCAGCGCGGCGGTCCAGGAATTCAGGCGCGCGCGGGGTCCGCGGGGCCGGGCGCGGCCGCGACGTGACTTCGCGGGGGCGCGCCGCCGTCGTCGCCCTTGCGCTGGGTTTCCTGGGGCAGGCCAGGGGCGAGGATCATTCCCGCGGGGGCCGCGGGGACAGCGCCCCGCCCGCGACGGGGTCGATGCCCGCGACCGCGTCGTCGATGCCCCGCGACGTAGCGCGCTGGGGGCCCACTCCCGCGGGCGAGTTCCATTTGGGGCTGGCCTTTGGTGGCAGCCCTGTTGCTGACGGGGTTCATTATCTTCGGAGGTTTGGGCCCCGCCGACCCGCTCTCGCCCTGCCGTCGTAGCGGCTTCCGTGCTCGGTGGGACATGGCGCCGTCGGCGCCGGGCGCCCCGTTTGTCGAGGCCGCCGCGGGCCAAGGTCCAGTTCTCGCTGCGCCCCCGAGCCCCCGTCGGGCTCAAGCGCTGTTCTTCGCCGCGGCCAGCGACCTCCTTATCGTTGTTTTGTTTGGGCGCTGGCCCTGCCGCGTGGACCGTCCGTCTCGCGGCCGCTCGCCGAAATTCTGACGCTGCGCGAGGGCTTTGGGCGCGGGCATGGCTGCGGTTCCTCTTCGGCGACCAGGCGGGGCTCGCAATTTGAACGCGGCGCCTCTGGCCTGGGCGCGCGTGGGGGGCCTGCCCGCGTTGACCACCTCCCGCGCGCGCGCGCGCTCGCCGCGGCGCCGCTCGGAGACGTCTCGCATGCGCGCGCGCGCGGGAGGGCCTGCTATTCTGCATTCTCCGCGGCCGGGCGGAACTCGCCACCTGGGCGCGACGCCGTTGGCTCGGACGCGCTGGGGGGGGCTGCCCATTTCGGGCCCCCGCGCGCGCGCGCCGCGGCGCCGCGTGGAGACGGCCCTCTTGCGCCCGAGCGGGGGGGATGTGCCGATTCGCCAATCATGCCGTCGAGCCACGCCGTGATCATTGAACGGCATGCGCAGCGCGATGGGGGCCATGGGCCAAGCGAACACACTGAACACGGGGATGAGGAAGACAAGGACGAGGGGGATGAGCAGGAGGCAGGGTGGGATGAGAGGGATGGCGGTGATAAGGAGGAGTGGAGGAGGAGTGCAAGGCATAGGCGAACACCAAGGTTTACAATCAGGAGGATAAGGGCGAGGAGCAGCAGGAGGAGGCAGGAGGAAGAGGAGGATGAGGAGGAGGAAGGGGACGACCACAACGACGCGTCGACGACGAGGACGACGCGCGCCGCGGGCGCCCCGCGCCTCCCAATTCCCAGTCGGCGCTCACGGGATTTCGACAAGCCGTCGCCATGTTTAGAAGTGGCGGCGCCGTTGCGCCCGCGGGAGAGTCGCATTCATTTTGCGTAGTGGTAGATGAGGACTGGAATGCCGCAGGCGTCTAGGCGAGAGCGCCCCCCGGGATGGCCGACAATAAACGGCCGAAAACGATCCGAGTGGAACACGCACAAAAAAAAACAGGCTAGTCCGATGACAACCCGGCAAAAGAAACACATGACACACCAGATGACGAATCTTGCGTGGCATAGGCGGTCGTACATTTGCACTTTCTCAGGAGGAAGGAAGGCCATGCGTATTCATATTCGGTATCGGTAGAGGTGGGCAGGAGTGCGGCAGGCGCCCAGGCAAAAACGCCCCGGGGACTAGACTTAGCGGCTGGAGGCGACCATGTATGAAACCTGTGTGTGCGTGTTGGAAGATGCGCGGCAAAACCGGGCGTAAACTGGCACGCTGGTGGTGGAGGCTCGGAAATTGCATGCATGTTGAATCCCGATTGGGGAAAATAATCCGGGAATCTCACGTCCAAAATTGACCGACGGAAAAAACACCGATGACACATCGAATGCTGACATGCATTTGTGCAATCGATAAGAGGGGGGAAATCGGCATTCTGTCAGCGGTGAGAAGACAATAATTATCAGATCGAGTATGTGAAATAGGGGTGCGGTAAGCGCCGAGGCGGGGCCTTTTGTTTTGAATCCGAAACGCCGCGCGTCTCCTCATTCTTCCTCCTCCCCCTCTTCGTTTTCTTCCTATTGACTCTACTCTCCGTGTGCATGCCCACCTAGGTGCACCCCTCACAGAAATCGTGGCCTCACAGGGTGCTCCACTCACGGTCCCAGTAGGCGAGGTTTCAATCGGGCTCGCGTCTATTTCAACATAGCCTTCACGCAGATCGTGGCCCCAGAAGCGGTTCACCTGCGGCTTGATTGAGCGCGTTCGCATGACGGGCCCGCGCCCATCACAGCACACCTTTTGCGCGGATCTTGGCCCCACAGGAAGGTCATTGCGTTTCTGCGCGCCCGCTGCAACGCCTCCCCCCGCATTGCTCGGCGGCGCGCCGTGCGAGAGGATAGCGCAACGCTTTACGCTGCAAGCGGTTTCGCCAGATCGGGCCCTGCGCCAGGTTAATTTTGCGACACCCGGTTGGGCATCCTGCCGGAATGTTTTTCTCGAAATCGCGCTTCTTATGCTTTTTCTACCACATCCTGTTCGCGAGCGAGTGATATGCATATCTGTTGTCTCGCGGTCCAGACTCTTAGTCCACACCCCAATGGATAGAGGGCGGCCTTGCGCGAATCCGCGCCGAGCGCATCCACGGGATCGCGTATCCATGGACTCTTGCCCTGGCATGTAGACCGTGATGGCAGGGTATGGGCATGCTCGTCGCCCGTGACGTGCTCTTCGCAGGACCGGTTCTCTGGTTCTCTAGCTGTGTGGGATCTGTCTGTCCGCCTGGGGTCCGATGGTCGGGGCAGACGAAAGCGGGTGGTAGGGAGAGGGGAGGTTACAACAATCGTTGTGTGCAGCTGGTTTCGGCTCCGCCGCGGGGCCCTTTTCTGGGTACATTGGCGCTTCTGGCCCTGGGAGGTCTTGGGGAAATCAGCTACGTGAGCTGATTCGCCCCCCCCCCCCCCCCCCCTTTTACTTACCTTCCCGTTTCGTCCGACCCGAAAGGGGAGGCCGCATCCCCTCGAACCTGCGGCTCCCCAGCACAGCGGCGGGCTGGCGCGCCTGCGCGCACATCTGGGCCTCGCAGCTGCCAGCCCGCGTGCTGCCGTTGCTGCTGCACGAGGCGACTTTGGGCGTCGTCGTCGACGCCACCACCGTTGTCGTCGTCGCCGCAGGAGGGTGTGGCAGTTCCCCAAACTCAACTCCCCCGGGAACCCCCCACTGGGGGGTTCAGTTTTTGTTTTTATATGGGTGTTCTGTGCTTTTGTTTCGGTGTTCTTTCAGGCGGGAAACAAATCAGAACAAAAGCCCAAACTCTGGTTGGTTGGTGTGTTTTTCGGGGGTGTCTGGGCCCCCACATTTAATTAGCCTGGCGAAGGACCCAACCACATGCAGTTGCAAGTAACGTAGGATATCACCTTCTCATCATAGGCAGCGCGCCGCGAGAGGGATGGAGCACGGGGCAACGCGGATGGGAACCCCGAAACGTGTGCGGGGTGTGCCGAAGAAGGCTGGGGGACCCCGGCGTCGCTGCCATTGGGGCCTTCGGCGGAGCTCCCCATGGGCCACGAACTGTGTGAGGGATGTGTCAAAATAGGCAGAGGAAGGCATACGAACCCTGCCGCTGAGACCTGCAGTGGAGCTCCCTATGGGGCCACGAAACGAGACGGGGAGTGTGCCGAAATGAGGCGGGGCCGCCATGCGAGCCCTGCCGCTGAGGCCTGCAGTGGAGCTCCCTATGGGGCCACGAAACGAGCGGAGGGTGTGCCGACATGAGGCGGGGACGCAATGCGAACCTTGCCGCTGGGTCCTTCGATGGAGTCCCCCATGGGGCCACGAAACGTGCGAGGGGCGTGCCGAAATGGAGGCGGGGCCGCCATGCGAACCTTGCCACTGGGGCCTTCAGGGGAGCTCCCCATGGGGCCACGAAACGTTTGAGGGGTGTGCAGAAATGGTGCGGGGCAGCCATGCAAACCCTGCCACTGGGGCCTTCGGTGGAGCCCCCTATGGGGCCACGAAACGTATGAGGGATGTGCAAGAAATGGGGCGAGGCCCCCATGCGAACCTTGCCACTGGAGCCTTCGGTGGAGCTCCTCTGGGGCCACGAAACGTGTGAGTGGTGTGCTGATAAAGGGCGGGGCCGCCATGCGAACCTTGCCACTTGGGCATTATGTGGAGCTCTCTGTGGGGCCCCGAATCGTGTGAGGGATATGCCGACATGAGGCGGGGCCGCCATGCGAACCTTGACACTGGGGCCTTCGGTGGAGCTCCTTCGGGGGCCACGAATCGTGTGAGGGGTGTGCTGAAATGGAGCGGGGCCGCCATGCGAACCCTGTCACTGGGGCCTTCGGTGGAGCTCCATATGGGGCCACGAAACGAGTGAGGGGTGTGCCGCCACGAAACGTGTGAGGGGTGTGCCAGAACGGGGCGGGGCAGCCATGCGAACCCTGCCACTGGGGCCTTCGGTGGAGCCCCATCTGAGGCCACGAAACGAGTGAGGGGTGTGCCGAAATGCGGCGGGGATGCGAATCCTGCCACTGGGGCCTTCGGTGGAGCTCCCTATGGGGCCACGAAACGTGTGAGGGATGTGCCGAAATGGGGCGGGGCCGCCATGCGAACCTTGCCACCGGGGCCTTCTGAAATGGTGCGGGGACGCCATACGAACCCTGCCACTGGGGCCTTCGGTGGAGCCCCCTACGGCACCACGAAACGGATGATGGATGTGCCGAGATGGGCGGGGCCGCCATGCGAACCTTGCCACTAGGGTCTTCGGTGGAGCTCCCGATGGGGCCACGAGACGTGTGAGGGGTGCGCCGGCATGGGGCGGGGCCGCCATGCGAACTTTGCCACTGGGGCCTTCGGTGGAGCTCCCTCTGGGGCCACGAATCGTGTGAGGGATGTGCCGAAATGGGGCGGGGCCGCCATGCGAACCTTGCCACCGGGGCCTTCGGTGGAGCTCCCTATGGGGCCACGAGACGTGTGAGGGGTGCGCCGAAACAGGGGCATGCGGAGGGCAGAGGCACAGAGGCGGAGGAGAGGAGGAGGAGGAGGAGGAGGAGGAGGAGGAGGAGGAGGAGGAGGAGGAGGAGGAGGAGGAGGAGGAGGAGGAGGAGGAGGAGGAGGAGGAGGAGGAGGAGGAGGAGGAGGAGGAGGAGGAGGAGGAGGAGGAGGAGGAGGAGGAGAGGAGGGAGGAGGAGGAGGAGGAGGAGGAGGAGGAGGAGGGGGCAGCGGGAGGAGGAGCGGGACGCGCGGTGTTGTTTCGCGGCTCATGTGTGAACCCCCTCAAACATCAACATTAGCTTGGCGAAGAATCCAACCAAATGCAGTTGTGGGTTCCGCAGTTCTGGGTATCGTCTTCCGTGGGGCTCCCTCTGGGTCCACGAGACGAAACGTTGTACTGGGCGGGGGAACCGCATGCGAGTTCGGCCACTGATACCTTCTGTGGAGCTCCCTCTGGGGCCACGAACCGCTGTACTAAGCGGGGGACGCGCATGCGAGTTCCGCCACTGTGACCTTCGATTGAGCTCCCTATGTGGCCAAGAAGCGCTGCACGGGGCGCAGGTACCGCATTCGAACTGCGCCACTGGGACTTTCGGTTGAGCTCCTTCTGGGGCCATCAAACATTGTATGGGGTGCAGGTACCGCATGCGGACTGCGTCACTGGGACTTTCGTGGAACTCCCTCTGGGGCCACGAACCGCTGTACTGGGCGGAGGAACCGCATGCGGACTGCGCCACTGGGACCTTCGGTGGACCTCCCTCTGGGGCCACGGTACGCTGTATTGGGCGCAGGAACCGCATGCGGGTTGCGCCAGTTTGATTTTCGGTGGAGCTCCTTCTGGGGCCACGAAACGTTGCACTGGGTGCAGGAACCGCATGCTGTCTGCGCCACCGTGACCTTCGATTGAGCTCCCTATGGGGCCAAGAAGCGCTGCACTGGGCGCAGGTACCGCATGCGGATTGCGCCATTGCGGTTTTCGGTGGATCTTCTTATGGTGCCACGGAACGTTGTATCGGGCACAGGAACCGTGTGCGGATTGCGCAACTGGCGCCATTAGGACTTTCGGTGTGGAGGGGTGGGCACGAACCATTGTACAGGGCGAAGGAGCCGCATGCGGACTGCGCCACAGGGACTTTCGGTTGAGCTCCCTTTGGGGCCACGAAGCGCTGCACTGGGCGCAGGAGCCGCATGCGGACGGCGCAACTGTGACTTTCGGTGGAGCTCCCTTTGGGGCCGCGAATCGGCGAAACGTTGTATTGGGCGCATTCATTGAATGCGAGTTCGTCCACTGGGACGTTCGGTTGAGCTCCGCGCAGGAGCGCATGCGCACTGCGCCACCCTTCGGTGGAGTCCCCTTCTGGGCAACGAAGCGATGCACTGGGCGCATGGACCGCATGCGGACTGCGCCACTGGGACCTTCGGTGGAGCTCCTTCTGGGGCCACGCTGTGCTTGGCGCAGGAACCGCATGCGAGTTCCACCACTGGGACTTTGGGTGGAGACCGCATGCGAACTGCGCCACTGACATTCGGTGGAGCTCCCTAATGGGGCCACGAAGCGCTGTATTGGGCGGGGGACCCGCATGCGAACTGCGCCACTGGCACTGGGACCTCTGGTTGAGCCCCCATATGCGGACACGAACTGTGTGAGGGGTGGTCTGAAATGGAGCGGGGCCGCCATGCGAGCCCTGCCGCTGTCGCCTTCGGTGGAGCTCCATACGGGGCCACGAACAGTGTGAGGAGTGTGCCGAAATGGGGCGGGGCCGCCATGCAAATCTTGCCATTGACGCCCTCGGTGGAGCCCCCTACGGGGCCATGAACCTCGTGAGGCGTGCACCGAAATGGGGCGGGGCCGCCATGCGAACCCTGCCACTGGGGCCTCCGGTGGAACTCCCTATGGGGCCACGATCCTCGTGAAGGGTATGGGAGTGTGGGAGGAGGGAGGAGGGGGCAGCGGGAGGAGGCGATGCCTCTTCAAAACGAAGACCCACTACCACAGGACAGTTGGGAATGATTGTTCCGATCATCGTGAGGTGTGCGCCGACACGGGGCGGGGCCGCCATGCGAACCTCACGACTGGCGCCGTCGGTGGAGCTCACTACGAGGCCACGAACAGTGTTAGGTGAGTGCGGAAATGGGGCGGGGCCGCCATGCGAAGCCTGCCACTGGCGCCGTCTGTGGAGCTCCCTATGAGGCCACGAACCGTGGGAGGGGTGTGCCGAAATGGGGGGGGGCCGCCAGGCGAATCTGGCGCCCTCGCTGGAGCTTCCTATGGGGCCAACGATCCTTGGGAGCGGTGCGACGAAATGGGGCGGGGCCGCCATGCGAACTTTGCCACTGGCGCCCTCGGTGGAGCTCCCCACGGGGCCACGATCCTCGGGAAAGGGTGCGCCGAAACGGGGCGGGGTCGCCATGCGAACCCTGCCACTAGCGCCTTCGTTGGATCTTCCTAGCGGCCACGAACCGTGTGAGGGGTGTACCGAATTGGGTGCGGTGGCGCCATGCGAACCCTCCCACTGGAGCTTTCGGTGGAGCCCCCTATGGGGCCACGAACCGTGTGAGGCGTGTGCCGAATGGGGAACGGGGCCGCCATGCGAACCTTGCCATTGGCGCCCTCCGTGGAGCTCGCTATGGGGCCACGAAACGTGTGAGGGGTGCG